CAAAAATCCAAGCGTTGGGAAACGCCGCCGCCTTTTTTGGCTTGGATTGATGCAATAGCGGCAGACACCTCCAAGGAAGATTTAAGCAGAAAGTTGCAATGGGGGTAGAGTGGGGCAGCCCCTTTTGCAGACTTGGCTTATTATGGGGAAAGCTCTGGCCTTGCTGGAGAAAGGGAGTGGGGAGGCTGCCATTTTGCCCCAAATGAGGCCAGTTTCTCAACCTCAACCCCATTTTTAAGAAGGGTGGGACTTCAATTCCCAGAATTCCCTAGCCTGCAAATGTTTATTCCAGGAGCGTGTTGGCTGGGGAATTCTGGGAGTTGAAGTCCATCCTTCTCTTAAAGTGGCCAAGGTTGAGAAACATGGAGGAATCCTGCAGTTGGCCTTCACTCTTTATTTCCCTCTTTCTTCCTCTCTTATCCGCCCATTCCGTCTTAGCCAAGAAATCCACCCCGGGTTTTCACTCCAACCGAGTCTCTCTGCCACTCAGGCGTTTATTTTTCTCTTCGCCGAGCTTCGAACCTTTTATCCTTCCGCCGCCCCATTCCACAGAAGGCGGGGCTCACTCCCTGCTCACGCCCCTTCTGACTTCCCGCAGCCCTATTGGCTAAACGGGAGGCCGCGTGCGCCCGAACGAAAAATAATCCCTCCCTTTCTGCTTGGCGGAGGGATCCAAGTGCGACGCCTATATAAAAGGCCGCCGCAGCCGGGTGCGCAGTTAGACCTAAGTCGCCTCTTGCTTGTTTGAATTTGTTGCTGTCTGCTAGGGCCCACTCGAGCTCCGCCGTAAGCCTTTATTGTTAAATTTATGTCTTGTAGTGGTATTTCTCTTATGTTTTCTGTTAATTTTAGTCTGAGGGGAGGGGTGGCTTTCCTTGAATGAGCCTTATTTTGAAGTTGGGGGTGGGGAGCCTCGCTTCTGAGGGGGAAGGAAACTGCGTAGACGGGACGCGCGGGTTTTGACAGGTCGCCCCTCCGTGGCGGCGTCGGCCGAGGGGGGTAAAAAGGCTATTTTTTTTTTAATTAAAACGGAGAGAAGGGAGGGGAGGAGGAAGGCCTCAACGGCTCTTAAGTCAGCCGCGACCCAAAATGGCCGCCCCGGAAGCTGGACAGGGAGAATCAGCGAGTCCCCGCCCACACGCCTGTGACGTCTCCATTCTGACGTCGCGCGCCCTTAGCTCCGCCCCCGACCCAAGGCCTCCAGTGCGCACGCGCGCTTTCTCTCCGCTTTGCTCTTTCATTCTCGGCCCGAGAAGCGACGGAGGCTGGTAAAGGAGGTCGGGGGCCGTGCAGGTCTTCTCCCTTCGGACCTTGCCAGATTTTTTTTTTAGGGGGGGGGATTGATAGGGAATGAAAGCCAATGCACCTCGGGAAGGCTCGCTTGGGCGTAAAAGCAGGGTGGGAGAGGGGGTTCCGAAGGTCATCTAGTCGTGGCCTCTGCGGCATGCTGGAGAAGCCAGGAGACCATCCTTGGAAGGTGGAGGTTACTTTTCAGGACCTCCCAGGAAAGAACATGTAGTCTGGATAGATAGACTGCATTTCTGCTGGGTAAATTACTCTTTATTGGTTTAATGGGGGTTAGCCGGTGGTCCAGCTCCAGCAGTGTGAATCTGGGGATTGCACAGTAAGAAGAGAACTATGGAGGTCCTGTCATGGAGTTTTCCTTGTGTTTAAATCAGGTGTCTCCCAAACTTGGCCACTTTAAGACTTGTGGGATTGAATTCCCAGAATTCCTCAGCCAACCAGAAGTTTCCAAGTATGGAGATGCCTGGTTTAAATCAGTGTTAAGACGTTGCACCGTGACATTGAAAATGACCTCTTTAAACACAGTTGAGAGTTACTAACTGGATTGATGTGGTGTGTTTCCCTCCTTCCCCGTTGCAGAGAAAATGCAGATCTTTGTGAAGACTTTGACCGGGAAAACCATCACCCTAGAGGTGGAGCCCAGCGACACCATTGAGAATGTCAAGGCCAAGATCCAGGACAAGGAAGGCATTCCTCCCGACCAGCAGAGGCTGATCTTTGCTGGCAAACAGCTGGAAGATGGCCGCACTCTCTCAGATTACAACATCCAGAAGGAGTCCACCCTCCATCTTGTCCTGCGTCTGAGGGGCGGCATGCAGATCTTTGTAAAGACCTTGACCGGGAAAACCATCACCCTGGAGGTGGAGCCCAGTGACACCATTGAGAATGTCAAGGCCAAGATCCAGGACAAGGAAGGCATTCCTCCCGACCAGCAGAGGCTGATCTTTGCTGGCAAACAGCTGGAAGATGGCCGCACCCTCTCCGACTACAACATCCAGAAGGAGTCCACCCTCCATCTTGTCCTGCGTCTGAGGGGTGGGATGCAGATCTTTGTGAAGACCTTGACCGGGAAAACCATCACCCTAGAGGTGGAACCCAGTGACACCATTGAGAACGTCAAGGCCAAGATCCAGGACAAGGAAGGCATTCCTCCCGATCAACAGAGGCTGATCTTTGCCGGCAAACAGCTGGAAGATGGCCGCACACTCTCCGACTACAACATCCAGAAGGAGTCCACCCTCCATCTTGTCCTGCGTCTGAGAGGTGGGATGCAGATCTTTGTGAAGACCTTGACTGGCAAAACCATAACTCTTGAGGTGGAACCCAGTGACACCATTGAGAATGTCAAGGCCAAGATCCAGGACAAGGAAGGCATTCCTCCCGACCAGCAGAGGCTGATCTTTGCTGGCAAACAGCTGGAAGATGGCCGCACACTCTCAGACTACAACATCCAGAAGGAGTCCACCCTCCATCTTGTCCTGCGTCTGAGGGGCGGCATGCAGATCTTTGTAAAGACCTTGACCGGGAAAACCATCACCCTAGAGGTGGAGCCCAGTGACACCATTGAAAACGTCAAGGCCAAGATCCAGGACAAGGAAGGCATTCCTCCTGACCAGCAGAGGCTGATCTTTGCCGGCAAACAGCTGGAAGATGGCCGCACCCTCTCCGACTACAACATCCAGAAGGAGTCCACCCTCCATCTTGTCCTGCGTCTGAGGGGTGGGATGCAGATCTTTGTAAAGACCTTGACCGGGAAAACCATCACCTTGGAGGTGGAGCCCAGTGACACCATTGAGAACGTCAAGGCCAAGATCCAGGACAAGGAAGGCATTCCTCCCGACCAGCAGAGGCTGATCTTTGCTGGCAAACAGCTGGAAGATGGCCGCACACTCTCCGACTACAACATCCAGAAGGAGTCCACCCTCCATCTTGTCCTGCGTCTGAGAGGTGGGATGCAGATCTTTGTGAAGACCTTGACCGGGAAAACCATCACCCTGGAGGTGGAACCCAGTGACACCATTGAGAATGTCAAGGCCAAGATCCAGGACAAGGAAGGCATTCCTCCTGACCAGCAGAGGCTGATCTTTGCCGGCAAACAGCTGGAAGATGGCCGCACGCTCTCCGACTACAACATCCAGAAGGAGTCCACCCTCCACCTGGTCCTGCGTCTGAGGGGTGGGATGCAGATCTTTGTAAAGACCTTGACCGGGAAAACCATCACCCTGGAGGTGGAACCCAGTGACACCATTGAGAACGTCAAGGCCAAGATCCAGGACAAGGAAGGCATTCCTCCCGATCAACAGAGGCTGATCTTTGCTGGCAAACAGCTGGAAGATGGCCGCACACTCTCCGACTACAACATCCAGAAGGAGTCCACTCTCCACCTGGTCCTGCGTCTGAGAGGTGGGATGCAGATCTTTGTGAAGACCTTGACCGGGAAAACCATCACCCTGGAGGTGGAACCCAGTGACACCATTGAGAACGTCAAGGCCAAGATCCAGGACAAGGAAGGCATTCCTCCCGACCAGCAGAGGCTGATCTTTGCTGGCAAACAGCTGGAAGATGGCCGCACACTCTCCGACTACAACATCCAGAAGGAGTCCACTCTCCACCTGGTCCTGCGTCTGAGAGGTGGGATGCAGATCTTTGTGAAGACCTTGACTGGCAAAACCATAACTCTTGAGGTGGAACCCAGTGACACCATTGAGAACGTCAAGGCCAAGATCCAGGACAAGGAAGGCATTCCTCCCGACCAGCAGAGGCTGATCTTTGCTGGCAAACAGCTGGAAGATGGCCGCACACTCTCCGACTACAACATCCAGAAGGAGTCCACTCTCCACCTGGTCCTGCGTCTGAGGGGTGGTTTTTAAACTTTCTGCTTCGCTTACAACCTTTGAAGTAAACTTCACTGCACTTTGTTTCAATAAAGCTGTTGGGATTCCCGATTGTCTTTGTGGATTATTTGAATAAGTTGTGTACAAGTATAAACAATGGAGCAACGAGGGCGGAATGAAAACGCTCATTTAGGAAATGAGGCAAACACTTAAAAGGAAGGTGGTTAGATTTAAGATGCTTTGTCAAAGCTTAACAAAGTACGTTGAGTCACGTATGCTAAGCAAGTAAATAATGACTCAGAAATCACAAAAGTAAAAATAACGCCTGAAAGCCTTTGCTTCAGCCTCCGAGTCTGAAGATACACATTTTCTAGCATATTACAAAAAGGATAGGAAATGGTAAGACTACCTGGTACCAATGTTCATTCTGGGGGCTTGAGTGACTTAATTCAGTTAAGGGTAAAGAAACTCGCTTTCGTCATCTTCCCATTTGGGAATATTCCAGCATTTCCTATAATGGATTAGCATCAGAGGTCCCCAACCTTTTGGGCACAAGGGACCGGTTCCATGGAGAGAGGTTTATCCGTGGACTTGTTGCGAAGTCATGTCCGACCCATCACGACCCCATGGACCACGTTCCTCCAGGCCTTCCTGTCCTCTAGCATCTTCTGGAGTCCATTTAAGCTCACGCCTCCTGCTTCAGGGACTCCATCCAGCCACCTCATTCTCTGTCGTCCCCTTCTTCTCTTGCCCTCCATCTTTGCCAACATTAGGCTCTTCTCCAGTGAGTCCTCATTAGGTGGCCAAAGTACTTGAGTTTCAAAGTCAGGATCTGGCCTTCTAAAGAGCAGTCAGGGTTGATCTCCTCTAGGACTGACCGGTTGGATCGCCTTGCAGTCCAGGGGACTCGCAGGACTCTTCTCCAGCACCAGAGTTCAAAGGCCGTGTGTTTCACGTGGGTTAAACCACACTGCCTCTTTTAGCATCGTGTTCGGGGACAGACTGCTTTGTGGACAGTACAGGCCGTTGTGTTACCACTGGCGGATTTCAGGGAAACGGCAACACTGTTCGGCAAAGGTAAACAAGTTGTGGCGTGTAAACAAGTTGCCTCGCTGTGCTTTATCCACACAGAGTCCTTTAGCTGAGATAAATATATACACATCACTGCAGGTAGAGCTTCTAACTTATAACAGTTCATTTAGTGACCGTTCAAAACGACCAGGGCACTGAGGAAAGCGACGGATGGCCGTTTTTCACACTTATGACGGTTGCAGCATCCCGATGGTCAGGGGATTTACATTCGGACACTTCAGGATCTGGCCTTCTAAAGAGCAGTCGGGGTTGATCTCTAGGACTGACCGGTAGCTCAGGGGTAGGCAACTTTTGCTCTTTTATGACTGGTGGACTTCAACTCCCAGAATTCCTGAGCCAGCCACGCTGAGGGGAAAGGGAGAGGTTTCCAAGCTGAGCCATGCTTGGCTCAGGAATTCTGGGAGTTGAAGTCCACAAGTCATAAAAGAGCCAAGGTGGCCTACCCCTGGGCTAGCCCTAAAGGTAAAAGATGGCTACATTTCCATCTGTTGTCAATGCAAAAACATCCGATGTTAGCAGCGTTGACAACTTATCCTGACCAATACAAGGGGAGTTGTGCAGACCGATTCCTTGGAGAGGAACCACAATCCCCGCTGGCCAAACCCACACTTCCTT